TTTAATATGCATGACTGAATGTATGACGCGTAGGACCTAATCATCTTTTTTGAAGTAACGTCTGTATTATCTAAGATAAGAAGATAAGATAAAAAAGTAATGCAATGGTATCAATTCGAACACAATCTAATTATAACATTAATGCACTTGTAATTTTGGCTTATGTATAATTATTATAATTAAACATTTGTTAGTTTCATAAAAGCCACTTACAAGAAACAGCATACTATTTTTCTATGCCACATTCTTCAAGAGCCTACAGCTCAACAGCAAAAAGCTTACTAGATGTAAGCATGTATCATTGTACTTAGAATGTAGACTTGAAATTCAATTTTATGCTAAGATTTGTGATATTTTACCATGTCTAACATGTAAATTCTGATAATAAATTTATTTCTTAATATTTTATTAAATTTTTTTATGAAGTGTTATTGAAAATGATAGTCTAAATGTACAAAAAATGTAATGTTTTATTTGAATTTTTTGGTATCATTTCCAACTTTCCACAGATCGAGCGCATTCAGAATAAAAGCTTACACCAGCAATATGCAGCTAAGAAAAGAGAGATGGATTTGTATAATCCTCAAGGTCATCGAAATGAACAAAACCTTTTCCATGGAACGTCTCCGCAACCTATTCCTCAGATTAATGAAACTGGTTTTAATAGAAGCTACTGTGGTGTCAATGGTGAGTTTATAAAAACAAAGAATTGGCTTCTGTTTACAAATTTTCTTATCCACATAGCTAACAGATATTAATTTTTTAGGGATTTGAAAAAATAGTTCTTTGTGATGAATGACACTAGCTATTTGGCTAGTTATCTGTTTTTTTCTTAGGCTCAAATAGTTATGAAGGCAAATAATTTTATATTCAAAATATAACTCAGAGTCTTATACTAGGAACAAATAAATCTCCCTTACATGTTGTTTCACAAAAAGGATTGGAAAAACAAAAAAATATAATCTTATCTTATAAATTATAGATATTACTTCAAAAGAGAAGATAATTATGTCCAAAGCATTTTAAGTGTCCAATTAGTCATGTGATTTAAACTCTGTTAAGTCTTTGGTTTTTCTAGCTGATTTAGGCAAGCCATTCCATGCTCTAATGGCTGAAATTCTTTTATTGAGAAAGACACCCTTTAGAGCTCCTTCAATGAGTGTGATATTGGCATTGACGGCTGAGAAGCACTAGTTCTTGATGGCTCCTCGTGGCATGTAGCCTTGTTTCTGGGTCACAGGATATGAAGCAAGGAAAGAGGACAGCAAGAAAGAGCGTCAAACCGACAAAAAGAGTGAAGAAACAGGCCTATCTGCAACAGACCAAACCTACCCATGCCACATATGCAGCTGGACTTATAAAGCGAGGATTGGACTTTACAGTCATCTTTGTAGTCTTAGGAAATAAGAATTGTGCTGATCTTTGACCATGAAGGAGGAGCTATATAATTCTATATATTGCTGTGTTTTTTTTTATGTCTTTTTTGCTGGAGGTAGGGGAGGGCGATAAGAAAACCAATTAATGCATTTCATAAATGTGCTTTAAATAGATGGCTTAAAGCACTGCATGATATTAGTCTGGGTTTTAGATCTTACTTTTATTATTCTACTTCTTAATTTTTCTCTGATCTTTTCTCTTTTCTTAACTATTTTGCTTGCATTTATGGCTTTTCATTTATTATCTGTAGGTACAGTGTACGGTAAAGGTGTTTACTTCGCAGTAAATGCATCTTACTCTGAAAAATATGCCGTTCCAGATGAACAAGGAAATAAATACATGTACAGAGTGAAAGCTTTGACTGGAGAATTTATTGAAACAAATCAAGAAACAAAATACCTGCCTAAAAAAACAGGAAGTAACAGGCCTTATGACTCTGGTGGTAATAGTAGCAGAGGAATCTACGTCATATTTCATGATGCTCAGGTTTATCCTGAATATTTGATTACATTCTAAGGTTGAAATAATTAGCAAAATATTAACTGGTGTTGGAGATCTTGTATTCTGCATGTACTTTGATCTATACTTATTTTTTAAACTTTTTAACTATGGACTAGGACTAATTTTTCTTTGGTGTTAAAACACTTTTTAGCAAGACATACCAACATCGTCCCCTTTCGTACCAAATGGATTTAACAACAGTGTTGATCTAATCAACATAGTATTATTTTTATTATCTTTTTAATCAGGGAATAATGCAATAACAAAATTAGTCATAATTAATAATTAGTCATAATTAATTAATTTGTTTTTTTTATAGTAGCCTAAATGTTCTAAGCTTTTTAAGCTAATGGAAGATAAGCTTATTGTGTACAGAATTAGGTGATTTGAGTTGAAAGCTAGCTAGAGGAAAATAATTCAATTTTAATGGAAAGATTATATCTAAGACTGTATGTTATTGTAAAGATTCTATCAAAGACTATTTGTAAGCCTAAATTAGTCACAAAACTTTGTGGATTTGTCCCTTAACATTGTCTTACAATTTTGACTGTTGATTCTTCCCACAGTGAAATACATCAGTGGCCATCAATGATTGTAAATATAATACTTAAAATTCTAAAATAATAAAGAGTTAAAAAAATTAATTTAAAAAAACAAATTACAAAGCACTATTTTCTGCTTTTTTGTGGGGTTTTAATATAAGCATTATTTTTTACCAAAAAAAATATACTTATTTCTGTTACTTAATTATTACTTTTATTTATTACTTCTGTGATATATTCGTATTTAAATGTGATTATTTTTAAAGAACAAGTTTTATTACAACCTAACATATAAGTTAATTGTGTGATAGAATGTGATCTTTTTTTATCGGATATTATTATATTTTTTAAAATGTCATTCTATTAATTAATAATAGGTAATTGGGAGATGAAATTTGATAATTTAAGATTAGGCCTATATATTTACATATACTTGCCCCTACTCTATTTGCTATCTTCTTTGGCGTAATGCTGGGTCAAATGAGGCAGCCATTGCATGAAGCCATCTACATCCGGTTTTGTTCTGATGGCAATGTGTTCAATCTCCGGCGTCTACTATCCCATGCAAGAACAAAGGAGATGGTCATAACGGAGCTTCTCTATGCCAATGATTGCGCCCTGCTAGCTCAAAATGAACATGACCTCCAGAACACGGTAAATGAATTTGCATACGCTGCCGCCTCTTTCAGTCTATCTATAAACCTCGGGAAAACAGAAGTCATGTTCCAGAAGTCACCCAATGAAACATACTCAACCCCAAGAATCACAGTAAACAGACAGCCCCTTAACGTGGTAGACCACTTCACATATCTAGGTAGTATAGTGTCAAATGACGCCTCACTTTCAAGGGAAGTTGATAACCGTCTGGCACTTTTGGACACCTTAAGGCGGAAGTCTGGAAGAACAAATCGCTCCGCCTGCCTACAAAAATCAATGTCTACCAGGCGGTGGTTCTCTCAACCCTTCTATATGGCTCTGAGTCATGGACACTATATAAAAAACAACTAAGACTTCTTGAGCGCTTTCACCAAAGATGCTTGCGATCCATCATAGACATACTGTGGCAGGACCGCACTACAAACAGCAATGTCCTTGCGAACGCCGGTTTGGACAGTATAGAGGGACTTCTTATGGTCCGGCAACTATGCTGGGGGCAAAGCACGTATCTTGTATGGGAGACGAACGTATGCCAAGGGCAGTCTTTTTTGGTGAGCTAAAAGGTGGTCGACATAACAGAGGCGCCCCACGGAAACGCTTCAAAGACCAGCTTAGGCGTCAACTTTCCTTGGCTGACATAGAAGAGAGCACTTGGCTGCATGCGGCGTCGGAACGAGACAGCTGGAGGTCACTCACGAAGGCCGCGGGATACACATTTGAGACCAAAAGAAAGTCTTAATCGACCACCTGCGGACAATGGTTATTCTTGCCCTGGATGTGGCAAAATATGCAGGTCACAGCTGGGGCTGCACAGCCACGGGAAATCTGTATTCCTCATTAATCTTCGGACTCGAAGACAAGCCTTATTATTATTATTATATACACCTATATAACATAAATAACAATTTAATATAATCTACCTTTTACAGGCTTTTAAGCAATCCCACTTAAATTTTTCAACAAGCCTTTTGTTTTCTAAATTATCTGGATTCTATTTATGTTCACCAAATTAAGCCTGTTGTATTTCTGGGGAACATAATAACTTTTCACATCAGTTACAAACATGTTTACAATTATCTGAAACCAAAAATAAAGGAGGAGGTTTCAATAGAGATTAAATAAATGTCAACGTTTTTAAGATGTCATTTTCATCAATAGTATCTTTTTTTTCTTTTGAGACGCTAGCATCAAAAAGCACATGTAAATAACTGAAGTAAAACAATTTGTAAACTAGTATAACAAACCAAAACCTAATATTAAAAAATAAAATAAATCAATATTATTTGTCATTAAAAAAGAAAGAGAGACAAAATTGGCCAGTATTCAGATCCCACAGCAATCACGATTTTAGTGCAATGCTCTATCAACTTAGCTATCTAGCCATTCTACTGTGTGAGAAATTTTATCTTTTCTTACTTATTGTTTGAATGTCATTCATTATGTATATTGGCACTTCTATATTCACCCCACTTGTGTCTTTTATTTATTTTACATATCTATTCATGAAGAACGTTTGTTGTAAAAAATACATCTGCTCTACATTTTACAACCTATTGGAGACAAACAGAAGATACTGTTTAGGGTTACCAGCCACCTTTATGCCCACAGAATGACAAAGCCTTACAAAGGAGGACAAAAAAAAAGAAACTTTAAAAACTATGTTCACAATAAAATGTATGAAACATATACCGTTTTATTAAATCAAAAGCTGTAAAACATTTAAAAATCTACCATATTTCAATTTAGAAATGACATTTTCTTCAAAGTGTTCTTTGTGACAATAGAGTCTGCTCTTTGCCCCAGTGTGTCAATGGAGAGTCTATTTCTTTCTTTACTCCACTGTGTTAATGGAGAGTCTATTTCCCTCTTTACGCCACTGTGTCAATGGAGAGTCTATTTCTCTCTTTACTCCACTGTGTCAATGGAGAGTCTGTTTCTCTCTTTACTCCACTGTGTCAATAAGAGTCTACTGGATTTACTTCCATCTTTAGTCCACTTTGTGGTGACTGTGCTTTGATGAAAACTTTTTTTTTTCACTAGAAAAATTCACTGACTTTTTAAGAGCCCTATTTGGTCTCATAGAAACAGCTTTAAATGTATTCAAACAAAACTATTCATTTGGGAGGTATTCAAAAATCTGTCCTACCTATGATTTCGAGCTGCACCTACTGATTAAAGTACTGTACAATAGCAATTTCCTATAGATACAATCCACATGACATTACATCATTCTTTGATTGGGTCTGTGTGTTCAAACCAGACAAAGTGCAATTACAGCGAACCAAAGAGTTCAAAGCCTGGTGTTCTCTAATTTTAGAGTTTTGTCTTCTGGATGCAAGACATGTCTTCCTTTAGCCAGATGTCAGGTAACACTAGCCCTATTGGAATAGAATCTTATCAACAAATAAAAATAATTCATTTCACCTTTATAGTAATAATGTGTTGTGTGAAAAAGTCTTTCAGTTATTATTTTGTTATAAAGTAATCTGATGCTAACATTTTACAGAGATATTGTAATTAATTGTGAATTTGTTTCTAATATAATGTTTCATTACTTTTTATGTTCCCTTTTATAATCTTTGCATTGACTTACATGTAACAATAACATAGTTTATATCAAAAACTTTGTATTCATTAATGTTGATCTCTCTGTTTGACAATAAAATAATAATAATAATAATTTTATTTTTAATATAATCTTTTATTTCATTTTTATGAAAATGATTTTTTTTTCAGAGTATTTTTATTAATTAAATTGACATAGATCCTCTTAAGCACATTTAAACCATGAAATTCTTGTGAGAGTACACTACTTTGTGGTTCTAATCCAAACCTAGCCCTAACCTTCTTCAGAACAGTAGAAGTTGGATGTGGTCAGGGCCGAGCTCGGAAACATCGTGACGACAAATGGGCATACCACAAAACGATATTGAACCATAGGTTTCCAAGCCTTGTATATTTTATGGTTTAAATGTGAACGGTTAACACATTCAAAGCACGAGTCTAGATCTTCATGACATCTACATCTTTTATTAAACCTTGTGTTTAATAAGACAGATTCACTAACAGCTAAAGCCTGTTACTTATCGCTCCAAGAGTCTTAGATTTCGTTACAATGCCATGGTCTTGGGCTCTAGACATGACCGTCATTTTTTATTCCAAAGAATAAGGATGAGTGCAGTGTTTCATGTGACTATGCAAACCCATTTGCGACCTGCATGGTTTTCCACTTGTGATTCGGGCACAGCTGTTGTCCGCTGAAGGTCTATTTTGTTTTTATTTTCTTCTTCAGCGTCTGTCTTTAACAATGGTTTTTCTTTGGTTATCAAATGTGTGTCCCACGGCTTTCGTAGGAACTCACCGTCTCTTTCAGTGGCCATCTGCTGCCAGCTTCTTTTCTCTATGCCAGTGAGGACGAAATGGCACCTGGGTTGATCTTTATAGCGCTTACTTATTGCGTCTCTACTGTCCACACCGACTTCCAACAGAGCATGGTTATTTGAAATGTAGTCTTGCCAACGTATTCCCATTATTAGGCGAAGGCACCTTTGATGGAAGCGTTAGGTGGAGTCTTAGATACCTTCGATAGAGCCCCCAAGTCTCAGAACCATACAAAAGTGTGGTGCGAACTACTGCTTTATAAACATTGATTTTTGTTGTTAGATTAGACCTAATCCGTCATACACTCAGAAGCAACCAAAAGCGCGGTTGGCCTTAGCTAGACGGTTGTCTATTTCTCTTGACAGTGACACATCGTTGGACACTGTGCTGCCCAGGTAAGTTAAGTGGTCAATGTAAAAGGTTCTATTGTGCATTGACGTAGTAGGCCTATTATAATATTACACATGAGGCTGGTTACTATTAGTATTACACGAATGCGTAGACTGCTGGGTTCGTGCTTCCTGGAGTCACACGTGACAGACACAGACATTACAGATTGACTCAAGTTTTCTTTGGCAGACAAATATAATGTTTATTTAATGACGATAATAACAATACTGCAACTTATTGGCAGTTACATCAAGACTTCCGATGTGAAACATAATTACATCCGCATAACAGCGGTATTGAATATCCAAGACGATTAGTTACAGAATATATATAGTTCGTCCATCGTGGTTCGATGATGACACAAGTAACGTCTGCAACACAGCGGGTAACAATAACACTTCACAGTTACTACTTTACTCAAAGTTACATTCAACTTAAAAAGTCGCTACTACTAGGATAATACATAACTACCTCGTTCAGAGGACTCTTTCTGACTGAACTGAACTCAAGTCAACTTTATTCATTCTACTTCCTGTTTTCTGCATCAGGAATTACACGTGTCTTTTAAACATCTTAACATGAGGTGAACATTAAATCAGGCAATGTCAACTGAGACGGTGACAGTCATCAACATTAAAGCATTGGCCATTTACATTGATTTGTGGACCTGGATTAGTTCCGTTTGGAAGCATTACTTCCGTTTTTTTTTTTTTTTTTAGGTTGATGGACAGACCAAACAAAGCAGCATCCTCAGCAACTTCATAAAAGGCAAGTTAAAGCTCCTGCTTGGTTTATGCATGAAGGACCCAGTGATCTGCATAGAGCAGCTCAGTAGCAATCATCTCATTAATTTTAGTAGCCTACGAATGACCAAGCGCTGTATCTTAAATATGCTGCCATTGGTATGGAAGCTCATGCAGGCGTCGTTTCATTTTATTTAGCATTGCACAGAATATGGAGCAAGCACACAACTCTGCTTCACACAATTGTCTATAGAGAAATGAGCTGATAGATCACCATTGTATCTGATTTGACCCTCACGCAGTTGCTTCAGAATAGAAATGAAGCTTGGAGGTTATCTGGCTCGAGCCGAGATAAAGTCCTCCACAAACCATCAAGACTCGCTGTACCAAAAGCTTTGGTGAGATTGATAAAGGCAGCGTACAAGTCCAGGTTCTGAGCCCTGCATTTTTCCTTCATTAGACTCAGAGTGATAATCATGTCCAATGTGCCTCTACAAGCCCGAAATCCACACTGACATTCTATAGGCCTAATAATAATAATGCTTCTCTGTGAGTCCAAAGATTAATGAAGACTAGTATTTCTCGTGGGTACACAGCCCCAGCTGTGACCTACATATTTTACCATATCCAGTGCAGACATAACCATTGTCCGCTGGTAGTCGATTTAGATTCTCTATTCGCCGTTTACGTCTGTCCTGGTCTCAAATGTGTATTATGCGATCTTTGTAACTGATCTCCAGCCTACTATAAGTTGGTCTATCTGTTAAGGAGTATTCTGGCAAGGGTTTTCCCCGTTTCTGGTAACACGCTAAAGTAATGCAATGGTAATTGGAGCGGACTGATTTGTCGCCAGGGTCAGACGGTCTTCCAGCATAAGTTTAAGTGCTGGGACAATTGTAATATCTCACCTGAACTTCTCGGTGCCGCATTATCATATCCCTATCATAAAATTAAAATAAATCCTGAATTTAAATTAAGGAATGTCTGAAACATAAAACAAACAACAGAACATTTGTTAAAAGAATTTGCTGTCCACTGAAAATCGACTTTAAAAACACATAGACCTATAAATATAATATACTTTATCTCTCGATTGATCTACCAGCTAGGATCTATGAAAATTGTAGACCTAAGTCTACAACGAATAATACATTGTTCTGTAAGCATAAGAACATTAAAAGTTTTCTATGATTTTAAAGTTATTTTGATGGATCTACCATATCTTGCTGAAGTCAAATGTAACATCGCTCTATTGAAGTTATTCTGATGGATCTACCATCTTGCTGAAGTCAAATGTAACATCGTACTGTTGAAGTTATTCTGATGGATCTACCATCTTGCTGAAGTTAAATGTAACATCGTTCTATTGAAGTTAATTCTGATGGCTCTACCATCTTGCTGAAGTCAGGAGAAGCATCGTTCTAGGCCTACTGAAGTTATTCTGATGGATCTACCATCTTACTGAAGTCAGGCGCGTAGCATCGTTCCATTGAAGTCTTTTACGTGTAATTCCTTGGATTAGTTTTTTAATCGTACCCCAAACTAGCATTCACCAACAGTCTTTTCTTGCTATTTACTGAACAATCAGTAGGCCTACTTTTGCATGCATTCACGTCTCTTGCATTTCAATGAAATGAATGCATGCATTTTCTATCCATGGGTTGACAAATATATATATTTTTTATAATTGACAGTGATACTTTAAACAATATTTAGAATTACGTTCTTCTGGGAATGTAGCTTACATTTTCCCTTCTGAAACGTATGAATGATGTATGCTGTGTCTGAGTAAAATTTCTAAAAGCTGTAGGGGATGCCCCAACGTCATCGGGCAACATCCGGACAGTGACGTGTTGCTATATCCGGCTACTCGAAACATCTGCTCACAATGCATGACTAAGCAACAAAGTTTGATTCAGTTGGACTAGTTTTTTTTATTTACGTTGATCTTGCCCTTGGCACGCGCGTCTAAATTGTACATAGCACATGGGCGTAACCAGGATTGTTTTTTCGGGGGGGGGGGGGGGGGCAGAGGGGAGTTTGGCTTGTACACACACATATTAATTTTCATTGCATCCAGTCCCTTTATTTTTTCTAACGTTTTTTTTTTGCCACCTAGGGGGTTGGGGGGAGGGAGCGCTGTGCATATTCTACAGTGTCTAGGGGAAATATGATTTATATCAAATCAGAACCCTCCCCTCTGGTTACGCCCATGTGCATCGACATCTACATAATCTACTTCGCCTATGAAGCAAAAGATTGAAAAGAAATTAAATTGTATACATCTGACAGTATTACTGGTAGTAATTGTAAGACACGGCATAAAAAAAAACAAACAGAATGATGTTCGGCTATACATCTAAAGTGATTTAGTAAACTTGAGATTTTTTTTTTTTACAAAGCTTATATCAACTCTGTCTGTCTGGCCAAAAGTATGTAGACCACCTCACAGATCTGTGTAGTATAATATCATATATATATATATATATATATATATATATATATATATATATATGTGAGCAGGTCAGGGTGGCGCTACCTGAGTGAGGCCTCCTTTTTTGTGCTACTTGCTGCTCAACATTTGTTCATTTTACCGTAGGCAGATGGTAGCTCTACTGGGTGGGCCCAATCTGTGCACCTCGGTATGGTGACCAAGGGGCTATAGTAGCCTAAGCAACCAGACAGCACAAGCAAACTAAACTACTCTAAACTAGCTAACTAAAAAACAAACTAAGATTAAAATGAACTTATATACACTTTATTTACACGAGGAAAAAACAAATCAATAAAAATATATGTGCAAAAGAAAATATACGTAAACAACTAGATAAACAAAAAAACTAAACGACTAATCAACTCTACTTAATCTATACTATTACAACTACAATCACTATCCAACAAACCAAACCCAAATAAAACCACTAGTTAACCCGATTCACCAAAATCCACCAAGACACCTTACAAGACAATAAACCACTAAAATAACCTACAAAACAATAAACCATTGTAACTGAGAACTACAGCAGACAGCTATGCAGTAATACAGTAAGGAAGTAATACAGTAATAACTGTGGCAGACAGTTAGG